GAGGCAAAAACGTTGACTCTTTTTTAAACGGATATAAAAATGACGTAACGTAACTGTTATCGCCATTTTTAGGCGTAGGAACGAAAGATGAGCTCTATAGTTCCCTCCCTTTGCAACCGAATGTTCATTGTTCTCTCGTCTGAAGTCTAACTTTTCCATTCCTTCGTTCCTGGATCCATAAGCGATACCGGTTATCGTCTTTGAAGACTGATGATGCTCCCAGTCGTTCGTCATCGCTATTATTCATTCTGCGCTTATGATCACGAATTGCACCTACAAGCTCGTAATTGCTGCTCGGGCATGTTGAAGAACATTTGTTCTGCGGAACTTGTTAGGTGAATTTTAGAGAACGCGGCTTTTTTGGCAATTCTTGTCAACCTTGAACTCTCCAAAAGCGATACCTTTTAGATAAGTCTTGGTTAGAGGTTTGTGTTCCGTTTGGAAAATACCCTTCTTCTGGTAGCGGTATTGTTCACTTTCAACAGTGCCAAAAGGATTATTTCTCGAGACATCTTACCATATTACCGACCTCACAATTATTCCAGACATTCTGGGTACCGCGTTTATATTCTCCGTTGTGAACTCCACGTTCTCCCTGCTATTCCCGACACATGTTTGTAATATTTAAAAAGAAGTTACCGAACTCATGTTTCAACACGAATATATATATATTTCGACATGGTCCAACATTGTGCTGGGATATGAAATGGGAATCCATTCTGATATAACGTTCCTCGAATCGTGTCTTCACACCCTGTCGTGAATTCTCCCCGTCTTCGCCGGCTACACGCGAGCATCACTCACTTGAAGGGATATGGGACATCCGGGTACTTGCTGGGCTTCCTTCGTAATATGTGTACATTGTGCAGAAATCATACGCCGTTAAACGAAACCAGATAACGTCGCTGAGAAAATTGATAGTGCCTTAAACGCCTCTTTCGCCTGACCGAAGTTCTTGGTTGCGGAATCAGCGATAAAAATTGTAAACGATTAATCCCTTCGTGTATCTAGTTCATCCGGAAGCCTCGACTGCAATTAAAAGTACGCATAACTCTCTCCATCAATGTCAGATAAAAAGTTACACATTCTTGTTGACAATTCCATGGTAATGTGCACGTGTCGTGCAGGACTCGCTTAAGGTGAAGTGAAACCCCCTTCAAATCAGTCGATTCGAATACAACACTTTTTTTTTAAGGGTATTAGACCAAACTGTCCGAAACTTTGACACATCACTCCTGATCATCTATGAATTGTCCTGACACATTCAAAGTTTGGATTTTTGGAAAAAATTTGTTAACTTAGCCCAGACCAGAACCAAAATGGCGTCAGGCTCTCATATTTCGATCGATATACAATTATCGAAGGCTCTGATATGAGAAACGGAAGAGTCAGGACAATTTTACGACAATTTAGAACACTCTGGTAATCGATAAACTCGCATTTGAACGGGGTAAAGGCAAAAAAGTGTTGTATGCGCTTCTATGCTAAAACGATGGGAATACGAGGTCTCGGAGTGAAAATTTAATTGACCTGGAAATCACAGATGGCGCAGGGGGTCCCTCTGCAGTCAATTAGGACCCCAGAAAGCATGAATCCAGACGATTTCTGGAGTTCTACTTTGATTTCTTGATATTTATTGTATGAAAACGACAGTTGGAGTATTCCATTTGGTACAATATCCAATATAATTCGACACAGTTGTCAATATAAAAACGAACGTCGGCAACGTAGGCATTTAGAAAATCTTCTTTATGGAGGTTGATCGAGGACATTGATCAAGTTCCTCGACGTGTTTCACTTCACCTTAATGCTGAAGATTCTTTGCCAATGGCCGGAATTCCTAGTTACGATACTAGTAAAGTGTACCGGAAATGATTTCGTGTCGCAGTTTCAAGTGAGATAGGTGACGACGGAGTTTCCGCTGTCCCTTTTGCACATCTTTATGAAAACATACTTTCCCTCGACGACTTTCGCGAGCATTACGCGCTCGGCGGAATACGTGCTATTTGAAAAGTTTTGGCGCAACGTATACACGAGATGTGACCAAGAAGTTCCCGAGCTGCAACTGCAACTTTGGTATTATTGATGCGGAAAGAGTCGTGCATCAGGGATTCGTTCGCGGAGGTCATGCGGTAAATCAGCGACATTATTTCGAAGCATTAAAATATTTGTAAAGTGCGGAACGACGCGGAAAGCCGCACGAATGGAAATCCAGCAAATAGGCAATTTACTCGTAACAACGCTCCCACCCCAACTCTACCCCCATTTTTTAATATTTTCTTTTCTTTCTGTACAACATGGTAACTCTATAAATTGGGAGTCACCGCATTTGCGATGTACCGAGGGCGTGTACATTTCGCAAAAGTAAAATATTGGTATTGAACGTTATTAAACAATACCTCTTTAAAAGGTTACCTTTTGTCATTGCGGTCAAGGAATAAAGAACCGCCTCCGCTGTGACAATTAATAAAGCTTGAACTTCTGGTTGCGACTATTAATGAGAATTTACATTATTGACCATTCTGATTTAACGTTTTCAATCGAAGTAAAGCTGTGAGCCCTGCAGCATTCTGATTCTTAATTAAACTCGATGCAGAAAGCGTAGTTTTCTTCGATAATTCCCCCGGCATTATTAATACCAGCACATAATGCTACAATTTAATGTTCATTTTATTTGTCTGACAAGAACCAAGAAAACAAGCTGCCGTAACACTTCCGATTCCCTTCTTTTCACGTTTCACGATAGTTCTTCAGCCTTTTGTCACGTCTTTCATTGAAAACCCCACTTTCTTTTTATTAACGACACCGGGCCACGGAACAATCCCCTATTTGGAAAAGTCCAACATTTTATTCTGTAGACATTCCACTCCATAGACAAATTCACGTGAATAAAGTCCATTATCGAACGAGTTGCTCGAGCACTCTCCGAGGTTACGTTTGCCCGTCATTCATCCAAAATATTTCACGAGCCTTTCATTTGGCTTTGCATAAGTACATAACCAACGAAAGCATCTCTCGTGCCCTCGATAGTTAATCGAACCGTTCCCCTCATTTCTCGACGTTCAACAAACATATTGAAAGTAATAGGAAACCATTTTGTGTCCATCCAAGCAATTTATATTCTTGATGTACATAATCTTTACAAGCCCGAAATGATTTTAATAATTTCGATATTAAACTCTAGTTGGCTTCGATTGGTCTTAAGGGAAATCACTTGAATTTGAAAAACCGCGTTATTGATTACTTTATTAAACATAATAGACATTGAGTTATTCCGCGTTGCGAGGGTAAATGTATCCTGAGTCGTTCTGGAAAAACGAGTTTGGGGAATCAGCACGAGCTTCACAAATTCGTTTCTTCATATTCTTTCCTGGCGGGGCGTCGTAGCTGTTGACATAACATGCAGTTTTATATATCCCTACGAAAAAGTAAATGCACAGTAATATCGGGTGAACGCGGTAGTTGGAAGCAGGTTCTCTTTTGCCGATCCACTTTCCCGGTAATGTGGTACCCTGCATTTTCCACGAGCAACGCATTCCCATAAGCCGACTTAATTCTCAAATTTCGAGATTTGGATTTAAGATGCGGAGTTGGCTTTATTTCTCAGGTTACAAAATACAAAGTAATTTAAAAACTTTAATAGCTTTCCTACGAACTATCCGAGTATTTCGTTACTCGAAGTTACCGAACTAAAAGATTGGCGTGAACGCGTAAGTTTTAATTTTGCAAAGAGCTATAAGAACGAAGAATATCATACAATTTGAAAGTAACTTTTTCCCACGTTCCTCGGTATCATGATCTCACAATATTTCTGACGATTAGTAGAAGCGATATTATAAAACGTAGGCAGAAAGACACCTGAATCGGTGACTGAGAAAATGATATTCCAACGATTAGTTCACGATAAAAAGTTATGGTTGACGTTCGTGTTCATATTTTCAAGGAATTGTACAATTTGACTCTCAGCGCGCATTCGAATAAACATAAAGCGCTACGTTTCTTTCAACTTCCAAAATTTTCTCAGTGAACAAATGATTACGGCAGTCAAAGTAAGAACGCGAAAGGTTCTGGACTTCCCAGGGCAAACTTTTAAAATAGCGAAGAACTACGACACGAATGAATTGTACGTAAAAAGTTGTCCCTACTTCGAGCTCTCCCAAGAAGTCCATTAGTGATAAAATCGAAAATGGCTGAAATCTTCCCGTAGCACCCGGGCGGAACATCAGCCACCATTTCCAAGAAGTTGGTGAAAGGTCTTCGGAGCTCTTTTGATTCCACCCCGCAATCTGCCGCGTTCCTACCACGCACTTAATTGTCGGCACAGTTCTAATCGCCGCGCGAGTGTGGAAGGGTCGAAGCGAGAGTAATCGAGAGTCGTTTTAGCCAACAGGGTGTCGATACGGGGATCGAGTGTAAGGGGTTGCCTAAGGGCAGGCTAGGAAAGAAAAAGGGCGTAATGTATCACGAGTGGAGCCCTCGAGGGCGCCGTCGTTGCCAAACACTCCGCGACCCTTCGCCGTCGTAGGCTCCACCTTGGAGACGTCGATAAGAATCTGGCGAGGCTCTTTGTTGCCTCGTGGATGCAAGCCCTCGAATCGAGATTCAAAGAGGTCAACATGAGCCTCCGCGACCGAGGCTTCAATTTCCGCGAACGATAATACCCCGACCGAGAAAGGGGTGCACCCTTACGATGCTCCTGGCATGGCCTGGCTCTCGACAGGACTTTGGCAAGCGCTCCGATTCGCGATCAGGCACTTGTATGTCGGACCCGATCGCCGTATGATTCCGCTCGCGATTCTAATAAAAGCTCTCCACCCGCCCCCCGCCGCGATTTTTGATTCCCGACCCGGTTTGCCTCGCATCCACGTCCCGGAAGACCCCCAAAAAGGGAACCCTGGAGGTTCGCGTATCCGGTCTAGGGTCGCGTAATTCGGCGATGGCCGACTTTGCCTGTGTCCGGTTGAGCGATACAATGCTAAGCAAAGGGTTCGTGAGATCAGGTGGCGTGGATCAAGGCGAACACCAAGGCGGTCCTGGCCATCCACGAGCACGTCATCACCAACAATGCCAGACTGTCCGTCACCCACAGCGACTTCAACACGTGGACGCTCAACATCAAGGGCGCCATGCCCGAGGACAGGGGCGTTTATATGTGCCAGGTCAACACCGACCCCATGAAAAGTCAGGTAGGTGGAGGACATAAAGTAGGAAATATGAAATAAGTGGGAAAAGAAAATGAATAATGCCCAGATCAGGACCTCCTACTGCTTGCGACGTGTGGAGCGCCAAGAAGGGTCCGCCGGCAAGACTTTTTTTTATCAAGCTAAAACGAAAAGAAAAGAGATCTAAGAATGGCGTTTCCGTTGAACGAGAGTCTCAAAGCTACACAAACAGCTGGGAACGAGCTGGTGCTCGGTCTGCAAAATCCTTTGTTTCGCAGATTTGGCAGCATTGAAAGACCGGTAGAGAAAGATATTCCTTTTCGCGTTGCGAGATCTTAAAAGAGAATATTTGAAAGAGTTAGTTAATTTTATTTAATCGCGTTGACTTCGATCAATTCGGTGGTGAAATATTTGAATAGCTTGTATACTCTACAAGAAGAACCGCGATTCAGCGACTTCTTTTTCGTCCGTGTGGAAAGTCCTTTTGGCTTTCAAAAGACTGAGAGCGAATTTTCGCTTTCGGCGATCTTCAAGTAACGCTTGAAGTTTTTGGTGCCAGCTATGTCAATGTGTTGGGATGCTCTTTGCTAGTCTTGTCGGGTCTTGAGTGGTGCTTTACGAGTACTGCCGTCGTACAAGTTTTCATCCGGGCTCAAATAACGGCGTCGCGTTTCTAAGAGCATCAAAATTACGAGATATCATATGCGTGCCTACGTAAAATACCATAAATAAAGTGTTACGTTCGTAATGCAAATATACGAATCATTTTTTGTGTATTTATCCCACGGTCACTTACGGCATTAAATATTATTACCCTTAAGAGAAGGGTTCAAAGAAACATACGCGCGCCATGAAGCTCGATCATTGCAGGATTTTTGACAATATCCATTAGAAAACCATCTCTTAGATTTTGTATCCAATTCTATATCTTCTTTACCCACCGACACATATTTCGCTTTCCGACATTGTTTCAATATGACCCATTTAACTCCGAAAGTAATCAGACTCTTCTCCAGCACCAACTTTGTAATATTGCAAACATACAGAAAACCAGAAACAGCTAACTAGAACTTGTATTCCATCGAAACAACTAGCTGTACAAAATTAATCTGAAGTATAGCGAATCGTATGTTAGGCGTCTTTCACGAAAAAGTATGGCGTTGAGCTGTACAACTTCATCGAGTTTTCTACAGGACCCGTGCCCAATTTTAATGCAGCACGAAGTGAATTTTAAATGTATTAATTACCACATAGTCCTAATATTCAATACGCCGGATATTCTGTTGTAAGAGTGGTCCGGTAATGACAAAATCTTGATTTTAGTGGATCAGGAACAACGGTTTAACTTCGGGCACAATTTTGTACGCGTCTACGTGAAGACCAAAGAAGTAAAGACCCTTTTCGATTTGTTCCTGCAGAGTGCCTATCTAGAGGTAGTGATACCACCGGATATCATATCCGAGGAGACGTCCGGTGACCTGATGGTACCCGAGGGTGGATCGGCGAAGCTGGTTTGTAGAGCGAGAGGATATCCCACACCGGAAATCCAATGGCGTCGGGAGGATGGCGGCGACATCATCGCTAGGACTGGGGTCAACGGTGGCAAGACCAGAAGTAAGGACAAAAGGAACGGTGATTCGTCTATTCCTTGCTTACGCCACCAAATGGCTGAGTTATCGAGCCTTCCCTGTAACACGCGGCAATCGTGATCGAGATCTTCCCTGTACATATCCTTTTATGTGTCAATAAGTTGTTCTTATTTCTAAAATATCCACGAGGCGCTATAAGTATCCAATGATTTCCAGGAAGTCTTCCATTGACTTTTCATTTTCGAAAAGTTACATGATTTTTAAAGAATTATCCTCGTCCAAGAATTGACCGCAGTCAGTGCTAATCGATAAGATCCCTTAGGTTCATTAAACGTAATATGAGCAGAGGCATCTTTTTTATCGTAATCAAAAGCATCAGAATGCAGTTCATTGCTGATCATTAAGATGGAATGAATGGAGGCGGCATCTGAGAAATCAATCGTTTATGAAAGTTTTACTCGAACTGGATATACCGAATTGTTCAACATTTTACCACGTAAACACAAAAGCTCCGAGCGAGGTCTAATACTCATGAAATTTTATTTTATTTTTTTTAATGATCTGAAAAAATGAAATGATTTGGGTGCCAGGACCTTCCTTAAGGTGAACTGAAACACGTCGAGGAACTTGATCGACGTCGGTAAAGAAGACTTTTCTAAATACATAACGTTGTCGACGTTGGTTTTGACATTGACAGCTATGTCGACTTATATTGGGTATTGTACTAAATGACAAACTCCACCTGTCGTTTTCGTACAACAATTAGAAAGAAATCGAAGTAAGAGTCCAGAAATCCTCTGGATTCGTATTTTCTGACGCCCTAATCGACTGCAGAGGGACCCCCTGCGCCATCTGTGATTTCCATGTCAACTAAATTTTCACTCCGGGACCTCGTATTACCATCGTTCTGGCACAGAAGCGTATGAGACACTTTTTTTGCCTTTGTCCCGTTCAAATACGAGTTTCTCGATTACCATAGTGTTGTAAAGTATCGTAAAATTGTCCTGACCCTTTGAATTCTCATATCAGAGCCATCAATAATTGTATATTGATCGAAACATGAGAGCTCGATGCCATTTTGGTTTTGGCCTGAGCTAAGTTAAACAATTTAAAAAAAAAATCCAAACTTTTAATGTGACAGGACAATTCTTAGATGATCACACGTCGTGTGTCAAAGTTTGGGACAGTTTGGTCCAATACCCAAAAAAAAAAGTGTTTTATTCGAATCGACTGATTTGAAGGGGGTTTCACTTCACCTTAAGGCTTCCAAAGTCATATGGTAAATTTTCAAACGATTCAATTAACCCGATTTGGAGAAGAATTTCATAAACAATTGAGCCCTTAGACGCCACTGTCATATCACCATAAATAAGAGAGCTTCTAAGGAAAATCTAAGAAACGAATAAGAAACGTTTAGCTTTTAAGTAGCAGTAAAAGGATAAAGATTAATTTTGTCTCATCTTTTGCTTTCGTCTCTTTCGCCTTGCCATCGTTGAATCTGCCATCATCATCGCAGTGGCTGTCGCGGAAGGCGAAGTCCTGATCTTGTCCAAAGTGACGAGGAGCGAAATGGGCGTGTACCTCTGCATTGCCAGCAACGGCGTGCCACCGTCGGTTAGCAAGCGGATGATGCTCCGAGTACACTGTAAGTAACGCAAAATTATGCAAAGTTTACCACCACTGTATAATAACGCAATCTCGCGTGAAATACCTAATAGGATCCGAATAACGAACCGCTTTCGTGCCTTCTGCAGCCTCTTTCATTTCTACTCTCTCCGTATAAATATACGCCGACCACTTTACAACCCCTCTCGAACACAAAAACCGCGATAAATCATATATGTAGGATCAAATTTCAAGTGTCAGGATTAACATGAACGGTTGATTTATTAATAAAAAAATTAATATAAAGAAATTGAATACATTAAAGAGTACGTCTTAAAGATCTCAGAAAAAGGGACTTGATTTTCCCTCCGACTTCGCTCGAGCTCTCCTCAATTAGAACTAATTCCCATTCGATCGTTCTCATCCAGCCTCACTCTAATTTCTTTCTCACTCAGTTCATATTCCTCACTCTCTCATTCCCACCCTCATCAATACATTTCTTTGTGCGTCAAAATTCTCCCTCACTGAGTCATACATACGGCCGCTCGCACTTCACGAACTCTCAACCACGCATAAACGGTAACACCTATCGAGCTGTCATTTAATCTAAATACTTCTCATTTCACCCCACAATTATACAAACATTACATTTCACTCTAACTTCCATTTAGTCTTATTCTTAATCTTTATTGCCGTAATTGGCGACACAACTATTCGTATAGCTAAACGCTTTCATCTTTTTTTTGTTCTATTAACTTTATTGGACCGCACAGGGCACTGGCACTACATATATTCCAAATTATAATTATAAATCGTTAACAGTTCGTACCGACTTCTCAGGAAAAAAAAAAAGAAAAAGAGAGAGAGAAGAAAATATTCTCGGTCTTCTACCCGTGACGAAAAAAGTCCTTACACGCATTTCTAATCATTGAATTCGAAATCAGCCCAGAATCTGAAATGAACTCCATACTTTACTGCATGTATCGCAAAGATCAGCATGCAATTAAGTGGAAAATATGAGCGTCGGTCAGACAGCGAGTATATCGATCGCTGTCACCACTTACCCCGCGAGGCTTATCTCCGAGCTTGTTCTACTTGGCGATTCCGCTCGAAAGTGGAGAACGTTTAATGCGTTTTCATCAGACCATCCAGGTCGGAGAGAGAAGATTAACGCGGACGGGCGGAAGGGCTCCTCCTTGGGAAATCGGAAGGATCGTAAACGAGCCCTGAGAAGAGGTCGCACTCGGCGGCGCGCGACGAAAGGGAGCCGATACCGCAGGGAGCTGATACCGGGAGGTCGAAGGGCAAAGGGCCCCGAGGATTACGCGGCCCGTGACACGCCGGCTCTAAAGGGTGGCTGATGGTAGTTTCGCGTTTATCTGCGCGAAACAGGCTTAAGGTCGGCCCGTCTCAATGGAATATAGATAGGGGGCGCCGTGTACGTGGCGGAGCCTTATAGAGATAGCCATCGTCGCCTTCTTTGCATAATTTCCCCGTGGCGAAAGGAGGTGCCACCTCGCGGCCGAGGGCTGCGAAGGGGGGGGAAATTAAACTGAAATACCGCTCGAATAACGGCACGAGCCGCCACCAGGGGCTGCTGAAAGGAGAGATAATAAAATTACACTCGGACGATATACTCGCACTCCAGGTCGGCGGGGAGATCGGAACACCTAGGAAAGGTGGAGGGTCGAAATGTCGCGGCTCTGTGGGAGGATTAAGCCGGACTTGCGACCCCTACTTCGTAGATTTTTTAGGGGTTACTCCTAGTGCGAAGCTTGGACGCGTTAAGGGCCCTCACCACTCCAGCGATTTTGCAGGGCCTCACGGGGACAACGATTCCGAACGTATTTCTAAACCGATCGAGCTTAACGAGTGCTCATATCGAAGATGAAATGTTGAACTGTGTTTATATGGGAGCGATTTTCGATAAGTGGTCATTATCATATAAAAAAGTGCAACGACATAATTTCAATGCCCTTTTAACTAGGAAGGAGGTGCTTGATCGAAAATCGCTCCCATATAAACACACGTCAACGTTTTATCTTTAAAACGAGCACCCGTTGAGCTCGATCGGTTGAGAAATACGCTCAAAATCGTTGTCCCCGTGGAGCACCTTTTTCAGGATTTTCAAGTTTCTCGCGAGGATTTTGGGCATTCCTTGGCAACCGTTGCCGACTCTAGGCGGAGCGTCCAACTTGCGTGTGCGTGCGGCCGAGGGTCACACACGTTTCGGCGCCTAGTCCAGAGGCGTCTAGCCGTTGTGTGAGTTGTATACGTGCAAAATACGCACACATTTTTCGCCCGTTGCCAAACACTGCCCATTATGCGTCGCGTCTCCCTCCTCCGAGCGAGAAAGTACGTTTTGGTTACCTCCCACCGAATTCGATGCTAATGCCATCTAGCGGTGGAAGTCATCGTCCCCTCTTGGTGGTGAACGCCGTTAATTCTTTCGCAGTTTGTGGACCGCGGGGAAGAGTAGGTTAAAAAATGTTGAGATATTACCGGAGAAAATTCAGGTGGAAGTGGAGGTAGGTAGGGCTTCTTAGGATGTAACTTTCACGTCAATGAGAGTATTCGAGAATCTCGCTACAACCGTCCGAACGTAAGTTCGATACCTACGCTGGGAACAATAACGTTCCTTTCTTATATCTTCATTCTCCAGCGAGCAGGTCGACACATCCCTTTGAAATAATTACTACGTGGAGATAAACAAATTTGGTTTATTGAATATAATCGTTTCACTGCATTTGATTAAGTTAACCGAATTTTAGTTCATTTGATTAAGGGCGCTCACCACTCCAGCGATTTTGCAGGGCCTCACGGGGACAACGATTCCGAACGTATTTCTCAACCGATTGAGCTCAACGAGTGCTCGTTTTAAAGATAAAATGTTGACGTGTATTTTCCTGACGTTTTAGAAGCAATTCACAGACGTCAATGCGATGACACAAATTTCTTTCCGTAAGAACACGAGGAATCCATATGTCGAGCTTTGAGATTAAACCTAGGCTTTTCAAATGGTCATAAACGTTCGAATTCGATAAATTTAATCTCTCAGCGATTTCACGAGTTGTTATTCGCCGGTTTGCATCAATTAATGCCTTTATTGTGTTTTCATCAGCTTTAAGTGGCCTTCCAGAACGTGGTGCATCTTCAATATCAAAATTGCCGGATCGAAATTTTGCAAACCGGTTTTGACCCTGGCATTCCGTCAATACATCTTCTCCATACACATCGGATAAATTCTTTTCTTGCTTGAACAGCATTTTTACCTTTTTGATAGTAAAAAAGTAAAATATGCCGAAAGTGCCGCTTTTCACTTTCCATATTTGAAAGAGTACCAACCAAAAACTACTGCGTAGAATCAATCAAACTTTTTCACAAACAAGCCTTGCTAGATCAGCTGTCAAAATATATAATGATTATGTGGCTTAAGTGTGAAGTTGGCCGTGAAAAAAAAATTAAGTCTTCTGTTGGGAAACAACGAAATTACTTTCCGAACAACCCAATATTATAAATTTATGACACATATGTACTAAGTTTGTAATGTATTATATGTTATACATTTAATTTGAAAATATGTTATAAAATCATCATCTTTTTTTTAACAGTGTATTTCAAAGGAGAAGGCTGACCAGCCTGCCGGAGCACTACGAAAGTAAATGGTGTTTTTCAAGAATCAGGGTGCAACTATTGCAGGCCCTTTCGGTACCTTTCCAAAAAGGACTGGCGGTCCCCATTCTTTTCATCCCTCGACGTTCGGGGGTTCGATATCGCGGAATCGCAAAGGTGCAACCCATTTGAGCTTTGACGTGCTCGCGAGCGCTCGAGCGACCCCGAAAGGCCGCGTCCCAGTCCTCGCGTCCGCTCGTTGCACCTGCACCTGCAGTTGCACTGGCACCGCGCGCACGAAATGCAGGGGTGCGCGCCCTCGGCCCCTCTGCCCATCTGCAACTTCCGCACCCGGAGCACGAGAGCCCTCGCGATCTACCGAGGTAGATGACTTTTCCTAGGCCGCCTTTGATCCCTCGGGCGTAAGAATCTCGCGCCTGGACCTCTCCGAGCCGGTAACGCGCTCAGAGGGAAATGCGGCCGTGCTCGAAGTTCTACGGGAAAACCTGCCGGAAAATAAGAAGGTCCTCGCGCGTCTGCCGCGAGACCTCGGCCCTGCGGATGACGTAGCAAAATGCAAAACGCGAAATGCCAAGGCCAGCTCGCCAACTTCCGGCCGGAACTTAACTCGATCTCCGCGAAGATGCGTTTCCGGGGCCCTAAAATTCTTTAATTTAACTTTAAGAGTTCGTTGCATTAAAGGGACGTAACGCAAGGAGCAGGTTTACGGACGGAATTTTCATCCGGGAGGGTATTTTTTTATACCTCTAGGTTAGATTGGGTTTAATTACGGATCACCTGAAAAGTTATACATAGCGAATCGCGGTTATTGCGTCTTTTAATCGATGCAACGTAGCTTTTGAAGGGGACGATTGAGCTAGTATTCTAAACCCTTTTAATGAAAGGTTAGACAATTGACCTGGTCCGGGTCTTTGTTCGGTATGGGAGTGTTGCGAGACGTTTAATTGATTTCCCTTGGGCTGCCTTCAAGCAACCGATATCAAACGGATTTCGGATACAGATCCTAGAGCCCGGAAGCAGGGACAACTGGATAAGTTTACCGTACAATGGGGTTACATCGATTAGACCGAATCCATATGTCCACGGTCTTGATACATACCGAATCGAGAAATGTCAAGGTATTAAGTGACTTTACCGCTTTCCGTTATCTCGTTCGTGGTACGTTCTCGCTCAAAGAAACAATTTTCCATTCTTAATTGAAAGGTGGTCACGAAGCGTTAAAAACGCTTAACACCCCCCGCCCAGCTTTTTTTCTCGCCGGTGGCCGAACGGGTGGCGTTAATTCGGCCGTCTTTCGTTAATGCTCGTGGATTATTTTAATTCATTCCGATTTAAATATATAATTGACATCTATTTATTCCAACACGCAAATGACATTAGCCACTGCGTCGTTGGTGATTGGCGGTGGAACGACTGATTTTAGTGACGCGGTCGGAAACGTTGATTTCCATCCGTTTATACGTAGTTCCCTGCTTACCATTAAGGGAGATAACGACGTTCGAATGGCTCTTTTCCGTTGCAGAAAGCAACAGTTTAAGGGCCAATCCGAGGGGAAACGAATCGTAAGGATAGCCGGAAGTCGTAACACGTCCGGCGAGTCCGGCGCGTTCGGCCGCGAGCACGTTCCGCCATGGCGGAAACCTTCGCCCAGGGTGGCGGCCCTTTAAAGAGCGCGGGCCGCGGGGGGTGGCGCTGGGCGCGGGCATAAAAAATTCCGTCATACTCGGAGAAGTTTTACGGTAAGGCTCGTAATCGCGAGCCATCGCGAGGAGTAGGTGGTAATGCGAGGAAGGACCCGGCGTGTTATCTTATCACCGCGACCGTATCTGCCTGTCCTCCGCTCCCAGCCTCTCGTCCGCGTACCTCTGGAAGGCCGTTTCCCGGCCGACCTTCCACCTCCGTCCATCTTTACCTCCGCCGTGGCTTCCACCTTCGCCTCGAGCTCCTTCGGCCCTCTGCTTTGCAGCCTCCACCTTCGCCTCGAGCTCTTCCGGCCCTCTTGCTTCGCAGCCTCCACCTTTATCTCCGAACTACTGGCGCTCGCCCTCTTCCCCAGACCACAGACTGCGCTCTCGGTAGCCAAGCTGGGAAACCTATTACGGGCCCGATGTTTCGCCTTGCAGGCTGATTTCATACCGCAATCGCATCAGGCGAACGGGATCTACGGCTATTAGTTGGGGATTTTCCTTGGACCAATTTAAATGATTTACCGGGGACGCGAGATCCCGCCGCTCTCGCCGCCGCGGGTCCCTTAAGGTGAAGTGAAACCCCCTTCAAATCAGTCGATTCGAATACAACACTTTTTTTTAAGGGTATTAGACCAAACTGTCCGAAACTTTGACACATCACTCCTGGTCACCTAAGAATTGTGCTGACACATTCAAAATTTGGATTTTTTGGAAAAATTTTTTAAATTAACCCAGACCAGAACCAAAATGGCGTCAGGCTCTCATATTTCGATCGATATACAATTATCGAAGGCTCTGATATGAGAAACGAAAGGGTCAGGACAATTTTACGACAATTTAGAACACTCTGGTAATCGATAAACTCGCATTTGAACGGGATAAAGGCAAAAAAAGTGTTGTATGCGCTTGTATGCTAAAATGATGGGAATACGAGGTCTCGGAGTGAAAATTTAATTGACCTGGAAATCACAGATGGCGCAGGGGGTCCCTCCGCAATCAATTAGAGCCCCAGAAAGCATGAATCCAGAGGATTTCTGGAGTTCTACTTGAATTTCTTGATATTTATTGTACGAAAACGACAGGTGGCGTATGCCATTTGGTACAATATCCAATTTAATTCGACACAGTTGTCAATATAAAATTAACGTCGGCAACGTAGGCATTTAGAAAATCTTCTTTATCGACGTTGATCAAGTTCCTCGACGTGTTTCACTTCACCTTAAGGCGGCCAAGATGTGAACCGAGACGCGAGCCAAGATGGGACGAAAGGATGGATCGACGCAGGGGCCGGTGCCACCGGCTGGTATTAAAACTTCCATATCGATTAACGGAGATTATGTGGCTTATGCGCTTCGGGACGGTATTAGGGAAAAGATCCGGTGGCGAGATCAAGGTCGGGACCCACCAAGATTCGCGACCGTGCATCCGTTGGACGTCTAATTGAAATAGTTTGCCGGGGAATTTCTAGCGGCGAGGTGAATGATGAAGTGCAGATTTTGGGAATGTTTAACCTGTACATTTTTACATTTTATGGGCATTGAAATTGAGATTTTATTTTTATTTTTATTCTTTTGAGACCGTACTAGGGTATGGTAAACGTTTCAAAAATAGGGGGGTCTTTACGACTCCTGATGGTTTTCTTTCACTCTTTAGATGTTGACCTTGATCCCCGATCCTTCGAAGCATTAATTTAGGATTTGTACTTGCCGGTTTGTTTCGATTGCAAGGAAAAGTCGTAATTTAGTTTAATATCGGATATTTTTATGGCAAAATATTAGGGGTTGACAACAAAATTCAGGTCGCATCTGGCCAGCCGTTTGTTGTTTACGCTTTCCGAATTTCGATAGACAGTCGTCAGCAATTCCAAAGGCGTAACGAAGTTTCGTAAGGGGTGCACCGATATGCGAAATTGCATTTCTTTAAGTTTACCTCACGTAGGTACACGTGGGAGCGTCGATGCATAAATATGGCCGCTTCTAGGACGCCAACGAGGCGTCGCGGCGCGGAGGATTGATTTATATTTCCAGTCCGGTTTTAACACCGCGGCTAGAAAGTTTTAATTGCTTCATCGTATTTTTGGGGGATAGGACATCGAGCGGAAGTTGGATGGTTGGACGTGAAACTAGTATTTTCCAAAAGCGGGAGTGCTGACATGACAAAAAAACGAATACCTTTAAATGAAAGGAAGCTCAACCATTAGTACGAAATATTCCTACCGAAGACTTGAAGCAGAATTGTTATTTATTGAAATGAAACTTCTTTAGGCGTGCTAAGGATAAAATCAAGTTGACAATGATGAAATGCCACAAAATCATAATCCAGCAACTCCGGGTGTCGAGACTGAATCGAATAAGATCTTGAACTACAATTGCCGCAGTATTTTCCAGATTTATCGAGCATATTTAATTCAAAATTATCATATACTGTAGTTACCATAAATCTATTGTACTATTTTTAGAGTACGAGCACACGAAGGTATACATAAAATTCGATTCTTGTTTCTTAAACCGATTATTTGAATAATTTTAAAAAATAAGTAAATAGAATATCCCAATCCCTCTATCCGCGAAGCAGCCAGAAAAGTTTCACTTCTGTCGCGCGGTTTTCCACACACATTTTTTCAGATCCAGGATACCTATGCCGTCCCATTAATATCACATTTTTACTTGGCCTAACAATACACATTTCTAACGGAGATCTTGAAGCATCGATGACCCATAAAGCTACTTCACACGCAATTTTTCTTTCCGCTGAAGGTTTTACGCCCATCTCTTCTGCAGGTCGCATTGACATTTCATTGAAGAACTTATGAAGACACTTTTTTGGTAACATTGCAGTTCATCCGATGATCGAAGTGCCGAATCAACTGGTAGGGGCCCCAACGAAAACAAACGTTAGCTTGGTCTGCAAAGTGGAGGCATCTCCCAAGGCCATCAACTATTGGACACGCGAGTCAGGTGCTTACAGTGAGATGAGAGTCTTGAAACCATTCCATTTCTTGATGGGGTATAGTAAACCACACGTCTTGCGAGGTGTTCCTTTTTTCCAGGAGAGATGATCATCAGCAATGACAAGTACTACATGAAGGAAGTGACGAAATCGTCCTACAGCGTGGAGATGTGCCTGATCATTAGGAACTTCCACTCTCACGACTTGGGGGGCTACAAGTGCATTTCGAAAAACTCCATAGGCGAAGCCGAAGGCAACATACGACTTTACGGTGAGTACTTTGTTACGATTTATAAATAAATCAGATTTGATCTATTTCCATAGGAAATGCACTAAACTATTTCTGCAATCCTTATGAATTACATAACTGCATAATAAAACGCCATGTTACGGGAAAATATGTTTCCTAATAAACGTTTCTTGTATCGCGGTCAATTCGGTAAATGTGCAATGAAAAATATCACCTCAAAGAATACTTTTTAACCATTCGCGTTTGCAGTGACGTTCTACTAGAGGAATGGTATATAGTGGCCAAAAGGCTCATATTTTCAAAACGATGGTGGATGTGAAAAGTTGAAAACTGGAACAACTTTTTTGATTCGTAAATGAAATTGTTTAACGTAACGAAATTTACATGTTGGAGCGAAATTCTGAGTGCTCCCATTGAAGTCCTTTACAGCAACAGTATTTTCCTGTGAATTAACTAGATATGTTAATTGCGAGATCCAATGAAGGTTTTAGTACTGGGATAGAAATCCGATAAAAACGGATATTTCGAAATCCGTTTACATGCACTCGTTTACGCTTCGGTCACCCGCTCGGAGAAAATCGATTAACTGGGTTGTAACTTGGTTGTAACCCGTTTACAATCCGTTTGCGATCCGTCCTATGTAACGCGACTTCTACGACCCCTTAAGTGCAAATGTTCTTTTTTATCTGTTCTTTATTGAGTCTTTTATTTAGTGCTGGACTTCAATATGTCTCTCTAAAGCATCACTTATAATATAAATATTATGTAAAAAGTGTACATAGGTGTACATTGTGTACATTTATATCATGCACGGATTTATCGAATACGATAAATAAAGATGTGTGAAATTCAAAACTGTTAGCGAAAGTTTTCTAAAACCGTGTAGAATTTGCAATTACTTGCTAAATTGTACAAAGTTTGACGTGCGAGTCGTTTACTTTGAATTTAAAATTCCTGCGATCGGAAATTTAATATAGCAGACGCGCCAGTTATTAAAATTTGTGCGAACCGCCGAACATCCAAAAACCTCTTTTGAAATACTTCGAGCAATTCGAAGTATGCACGAAATATGTCGAAATATACGATTTCCCCATTTTTGTTTCGAGGTTTCGATACATTTTTAATTAAAACGTCACGTTCTGTATTACCGCGTCGAACGGCTCGAAGAGGAAATGATGAATGGTACGGATAGTTTAATGATTCTGCTCGTTCACGCGTATAACAGAGAATTCAGGGATCAAATCATACACCTGGTGAAGCATTTCTAAACAGAGAAATATGAAGATATTGATGCATTCCTATCCAATCCAGCTGTACCGTCAGGGAATATTTTAATAAATTGAAAAGAAATCCATTCAAATTCAAGTGATCAAGAATACATCAAAGCCGAGAACTAAAAGAATGCGGTACAATTTGACAGAAACACTGGCAGGACGTTTTTCTGTAATTTTAAATATGTACTCGCTTCTTTGAGGAATTCTACGCATACAAGAGTCGTGGAGAAAGTGTCCCCAACATTACATACAGTCCATATATTTCCCATACGCCAAAGATAGAAGTTTCACGCTCGTTCAATAAAAACTGAAGATTTTTCAGGTCGGTACCCGAAACGTCTCCAAGAATCTAACCTTTTGCGTACTTTCATATAAAAGGAGTTTTCGCCGTTTCGGAGTGGAGTTCACCCGAAAAGAGTCCGGAAGTAGGCGCAGTCTAATGGATTGCATTTCCTGAGGCAAGTGGTTCCTCTCGTCTCGTTATCCTTTCGGTCGAGAACTCCCTTCGCTTTCTTTCATCCACACGGGACGAAAGGTAAATCCATGCACGTGCATGCACGTACGCAGATTCGCGAGTGCTCGGCCAGTCGGCAAGTCGACGCTAATCGGCGAAATTTTCCGGCGTAACCGGGGCCTCTTGTCTCGTATCTCGACCCGGGGTTAAGCGAGGCCTGAAAGCCACGTTCGAAAGTCACGCGATCCGATAAGGCCGAGGGATTAACCGTTGAACCGGAGGTAGAAACGGAGCATGGGAGCACGACGAAAGGAGGCGAGCATCGGACAACAATAGGGAAGAACCTATGCAAGCCGAACCCATAAGCGACACTCGGTGAAAAGGGCTCGTCCAGCTCCCAAGTTTAAAGGTCCTGAGTCGAACTATCACTCACGAAGAAGTGAGGAAAAGGAAATTCGACGATTCTTAGAAAATAAGAATCCAGAATCAAGAGATCATACCGAAAGGCAGAGAAAACCTTAGACGATATATATGTATCTAGACCTCGCATTGGACCACCCACTTCTAAAGTTTCAGGAACAAAAATGGCTTTATCTGTGTGGGTGAGCGGTCGGATCACGTGGTACATACATTCGAGTTTACTCCTTCCACTGCAATGCGAGATCTAGATATCTATGGTTTAAGAAGAAAACATGTTCAATACGGTGCATGCTTGCCGATAAGGTGTCCAAGGACTGTACGAGCAAGATCGGTGACGCCAGAATTTGTGGGAGCAAAAGAGCGAACTCTGCGATGTTCACAAATATACGGACCGAGGAAAAGTCCGCCAGTCGGTTCTGATAAATCAGGACGGATGATAAAGAGTTCTTCCTTGTCATTTTATGTCCCTTGTGTGTCTTTTAAAATGGGAAAATTGTAAAGAACACCTCCTCGCAAGACCAACTCATTTCGGGACCGGCCGCTGGCTCCAGCTTCCTTTTGTCCCCCCCATAAGTGGGAAACTCCCGATGGGTCGTTGGGCGTTCGATTTCCCGATCGTGGGAGGCCGCAACGAGGTGCAGGAGAAGTCAGGATGCACTTTGGCCGGAAAGGAAGCCAACCCCGGTCCAAGAGTGGAGGAGGGTCCCGGCCTTCGCGAAACAATATCCCGGCGTATTAGTTATCGTTTATCAGGCAGCCAGACCGGACAAAAGGTGGCGGGACAGGAATTGGGTGAGCCATCTGTTGCCAGACATGATCGATAAAAGTCCGCCAAGTGTTATCAGTGCTAAACTGCTATTTCGGCGAGCTGCCGCAGATTCTCTCGTTTGCTCGGCGCACGCCTCCCGACCTCCCTTGGCTCGTCCCAGCCCCCGACACGGCGCACCCTCGCTCTTCTATAACGTCCCGATTTGCGGGGATACACGATAAATTGGATCCACCGGGCGGATTCCTCGTCAAAGAGAAATTCTTGCCTGCAGCGCGTCGTCGAGCGTGAAAACGCCCGTGAATCCCTGTCACGGGACAGGGCTCGCCGAGAGGAAAAAACGCCTATATCCACCCGTCGTCACGGCGCCCAGATAGCGTCGATAGCGAGCGGATAGCGCGCCGCGGATCCGCCGTGACCGAAATGCCTCGTCCGTGCCGCGTTATCCTCGGTCATCCCTGTTGGACGGGCAATTTTCTGCTCTCCTTGAAAACCGACCCCCCTCAAAAGCGGAGCTTCCAGGAGCTTCCTGGAGCTTCCGATCACCGACTCCACATCGAGTGACGTTCGAAGGGTTGTTGCGGTATTTTCGTTTCTGCACCTTAAACCTTTTGTTCCTAACGTCGATTTCAGCCGGCACCCGGGAGAAGGACTCTGGATCCGGGTGTTGAATGTAGTCGGCATCCATGTATCAAGCTCTCGATCATATCACCGGCGTTAGTCCTCCAACGGAGCATAAACATAAAATTTACGTCAAATTCACGCATTTTTGTAGCATTTGAGTAACATTATTGGGTTTGTAACGTCAAATCAACGAATTTTCATACGTTCAGTTGAGATAAAGTGGACGCTAATATCGTATGTCCGCGTTAGTATCGTCAAAGAAACGTCAAAGAAATATCAACCTGGACGTGAAATAAACGTCAGGTGAATGTAATTTTTTCTGTAGCAAAAATAGAGCCGACGGCTCTTTTACATCGTTACAATTATAAGCGATCTAAGTAAAAAATTGAAAAAATTAATTTACCGTACATGTTATGTTCCATACATTAATTACAATAATACGAATTTAGGTTTTCATAAAATAAAAAAATGGCTTAGATCACTTTCATGATTACGAGCGCATATTTGATTCTGTCTACGAAATGGGCACTCACAGCGACTTCTCCGTATACAGAAAATGCATCCGCGCACACGTATGCCAGCACGAAAGGATTAAAAGCAGTTGTTTTGAATGGCTGTTTAATGGACCGAGGTATAAATAATCTTGTCGTGACTGTGCCTGTCCGTTGTTTTAGCTTTGCAATAGTAGTGAAATAAATAGATCTTCTAAGTCGCCCTGAAACAATTACCTTGGATAAGCAATCATATGATCTCTATAAATTAACTTTTCACCGAGTGACATCAGCAAGATTATTAACAAACTCATTTAATTTACATGAAATAATTTCTGTTATGTTCTGCTGTGTAAAGAATAATTTTTATAACTTTTCTCTGAGCTTATGACTACCCTTTGTTGCGGTGCCCCAAGCGAGTGGATCTCGAACGGATGACGAGTGGATATCGCGGATAACGCGGCACACTTTCGGATATGGGTTGCAACGAAAATTCATTTAATTTACATGAAATAATTTCTGTTATGTTCTGCTGTGTAAAGAATACTTTTTATAACTTTTCTCTGAGCTTATGACTACCCTTTGTTGCGGTGCCCCAAGCGAGTGGATCTCGAACGGACGACGAGTGGATATCGCGGATAACGTGGCACACTTTCGGATATGGGTTGCAACGAAAATTCATTTAATTTACATGAAATAATTTCTGTTATGTTCTACTGTGTAAAGAATACTTTATATAACTTTTCTCTGAGCTTATGACTACCCTTTGTTGCGGTGCCCCAAGCGAGTGGATCTCGAACGGATGACGAGTGGATATCGCGGATAACGCGGAATATGGGTTGCGACAAAAATTCATTTAATTTACATGAAGTAATTTCTATTATGTTCTGCTGTGTAAAGAATACTTTTTATAACTTTTCTCTGAGCTTATGACTACCCTTTGTTGCGGTGCCCCAAGCGAGTGGATCTCGAACGGATGACGAGTGGATATCGCGGATAACGCGGCACACTTTCGGATATGGGTTGCGACGAAAATACCTCTCCGGCCAAGTTATCTCTGGACATCTCTCTTGGACGGCTATTTTCTGCTCTCCTTAAATTCTTTTTCGGTCCCCGTTAAAGCGTGACCCTCTTCGAGGCCCTCGATCACTCCGACACGGGTGACACTTGAAGGGTTGTTGGGAAAACTCGAGTATTTCTAACGCTATAAACACATACACTTATATATCATATCCTATACAGTTGTTCTATGTATTTCCTTTATTAACAGAAAACTAGCAGATAAAACCGTCGAAGTTAAATAATGAAGTTTTCCCTGCCACTAAACGACGCGAATAAAAAAAAAAAGCATCCTTCATTCTCGAGTAATTCTAACGTTGTAAATGCATACATGTGTCACTTCGCCATATACGATTATTCAATATTCTGCTATTAACAAAAGCATAGATAATGAAATCATGGAAATGGAATAACCGCACTTGCCCATTCGCTCAACGTCCTAGAAAGGAGGGAAATGGAGAAGTAGCCTTCACTCCGATTACAAGGAATAGCACGGTGCATTGCAACGTGAATGGTTTATATATTTACGTATGTCTACCTCCTTAGCATTGAGAACGAATATCTAAAAAGACAATATTCGATACCAAAGTCCCGAAGCAGAGTGTACCATAGGAGCACCGTTCTCCTTGCAACTGCTCTTTCATCCCTTGCATCTATACATTCTCTAGGGAGTACTCAGGCAAAATCCGCTCCTCTTGTTTGTTCGCAGATATGGACTTACCGAAGCAATCAAAGAAAGATGGCAGTCGAAATGGCGGAGACGACGCAATGGAGAACGGCGACCGGGATCATGGTCACAGGTTGAACCACGTGTACCAGGGTCCCCTGAGAGAAACGGGATCGACCCCGCAGACGCCCCACGATAGGGACACCTCGGCTGCAACGGGGATATCGTTAGACAGGACGCAGCCTTTCGTCATCTGCATCCTGCTTCTGGGGTCCTATCGCCTAACCGTGTACTCGTAAGTACTGGCCGACCTGAGCACCTCGAACAAAAGAGTAGCATATTCGCGATCCGTGGAGTCGACCTCGGCGACTTGGACTCTGGCACCCTGGAGAACAGACGTCGGCTCCTGGGCTTGAATCCTGGACTCGGTACCAGAACAGGATTCCAGATCTTGGCTCGAAAACTGGTCCTAAGGTGTGTCCGATAGACCTGCAGGAAGTGGACGTTCATCGCCTTGACTGGACTTCCTACATCGAAGCTTATCGGTCATAGTCTCGGGACGAGATCCTTCGAAATCTTTCCAAAGAGACCGGATAGTAGGCGATGACGTTCTCCAACGAGAAGCTCGTTCGATCGGTAACGGGAAGTCTGCACCTCTTGAAGTGAATCCAAATGGACCCCCGTTAAGGAAAGGACGATGAAAGCTAAACACTGATTTCTGTTGGAACTTTCTAAATTGGCCCAGATAGAAAATGACAATGATCCGGAGTTCTGGTTATCCCAGCGGTCAGCTTCGAGAGTCCGAGATGCCCATTTCAGCCTCGCGGGGCCAAACAACTTCGAAGACGGACATGCTCGAGGAACGGTGCTCCTCGTGACAGCTATAGCTACAGCTATAACTACGCTTTACTGTTGTACATATGTATACCGTTCCCTCGGCTTAATTGCGGCAGCTGAATTGGGAAAGGCGCGGAACGCTGAAACGACGTTGATGTACTCCCCGGAACTGATCGGAAACGAACAGCGAACAACTAGACTTCTTCCGACCCTCTAGTGAATGCACTTCCTACGTGTATATACACTACCATTCAGCGTCTCCCTTTACTTTGTCCCATTTCCCCACAAATTACCCGCTGCAACGGTGCAGGGAATAGGAGTTACCGGAGATGTAATTCTTTTTCTCGGTATTAACCGAACTTTTGTAAGTAAACATCGGTGATCAACGATCGCGGATAGGGTGTCCGGTAAATGTCTGACCACCGGAATTGGTGGAAGGGAAACGAGGGATCCTTGGCCCACGGTCTTTGCCATCGGCACAGTGGTCAGTCCTCGTGTACAATAGTCGTTCCTAGCGTTCGTTCCCACTTCGGCTGGATCAGTCCCGCTACCAAGTGATTTTCTTTCTTTTTCGTGAACCGAGTCTACGGAGACGGCGAATTCGACGGCGTCTGGATGTCCCATCGGAGCTATGAGCTCCCGAAAGGGGCTCTTTTTGGGAGCCTGAACGAAATTGAGCTCCCGAGATCGGGTCTCCTTTCGACTCGTGCTCTCGATCGAGGTTCGTTCCTCGCGAAGATCGCCGCTACGTGTACCGAGTTCATGAACTGCGAGATGGAGAGAGATGTAAATAAGTAATGCGCGATGGCAGGCAGAAAAGGCGTAGACGCAGAGAGCGCTTCAAGCAAGACGAGTACTCGAAGCTCGAGTTCCTGCGATTACTCGTAAGTAAATACTCACTCTTTTGACTGTTTTTCCGCAATAAGTAATCCCGGGCGCAACGTGAAGGCCTCGAAATTGTATATTCGTTACAAGTTTATCGAGGAGTGAAATTGTACCCAAGTGTGCCTGTTCAGTCCCATATCCGCAGATAGAACGAAAGGAACCTAAAAGAAATCGAAAGTAAACGCAAAAATGTGACTTAGGGAGAAGAAACGTTTGAAAGACCCTACGAATGGATCTTTCATGTGCCCTAAGCGGATGTTCTTGTTCAGAACATGAATTTGAAACATGAACCTTCGCTCTTTCATCGCCGTATTTGACCGTCATATCAAGTAAAGACTTATTGCACAGGTTGCCCTAAAATTCGTATTAAACATGAACACGAGTTGACTTTGTTACGTATATAAGCAAATATTTAAAAGAAACTATGCTTTTGATCTTGATTCGTGGAACAATTTTTGATATCTACCCGAAACATTGTAGATCGTCGTTCGCGTATTAAATACGTCATTTTCACGTTAAGAAATTGTTTCGTACGTGTTAATGTGCATACATTTTAGGCCAGCCTTTACTTATATCATGGAGACATGCGGAAGACAATTTAGAAGCTCCCCATGTACTTGCAAATGTTAAAGCAATTATGGAAACACAAGCATATCCATGTCTCATATCGGGCGATGCAAGTTCACATACGCGCTCGCCAATCAATCGAACCGAACGTGTCGGTAAACATTCGATATCGATACTTTCATCGGGTATATTCCTTTCCGTTTTTTAGAGATTAATAAATTTTAATCATGTCAAGATGACCTCTTGAATTAAATTGTTACGTGTTATTGCCAAAATTGTATGATAGCAAATGTTTTCTGTTCTCGATTGAAGTTCAATTATTGTAACGAATAAATAAATTAAAAATGATTTGTAGAAGGATGAATTCTGTATAACTAATCGTTAGGCCTGAAAGTGTTGAAACCTGCGGTGGAATTACTAAAACCCTGGGGTATGAAACGTTTTTAAAATATTTAAAATTGTGAAGCGCTGTTAATTTGTGAGAAAGTGATAGCAAAAATTAGTTAATGTCGAGAAGGGCTTTAAAACGTGACCGTTGCATTATGTGATACTTCTCGAAGGATGAATTAAAGGGTTTTAGGAATAAGCTCTACAGTTAGATTCTCGAGCTCTGTCAAGAGGAAATTAATTCAACTGAACTCTGTGTGCAGTCAGCCTAAGTGGTGGCTCTTAAAAGTTTCTAGTGGGTCTGCTTAAAAGCGCTCACTGGTCCAGACTGAATTTCACTCCATCCCAGTTCGGACCGTTTAGTATCCGTGCAGTGTCGACGAAAACGGTTCCCCCGATTTACCCACTTTTGCTATTTATTAACTATTTTTATACCCAAACATAACGTGGGCAAAGATAGTTACCATATTTCATGTCGGCTTTCACGTGCCGTCAAGACTCGGTCTCTTTCGAGGCAAAATTTACGATGTTAAAGCTGTCGGGCCTAATCGGCACGCTCGACTTCACTTAAAATTCGATAAAAACGGAATTAAAATTTTCAACCCCTAATTCCAGTAAATCCGATACCGTAATTGCATTAATCCTCGCCTAACTTTTTCCGTTCGGAAGGCTCGCGGGAATTAAAGCACCCAAAATCGCGGTCGTACGTTTTTCCGATAAATTCACGGACGAAAATTTAAATTTCAGAATAAATAAATGAGTTAATTCGAGTATTCAATCTCTTCCTTATAAAAAGACAAGAGCAATAACAGTCCATGCTTAAATATATTATTTTCATTTATCCAAACTTCGTTTATTAAAAAATTGAATCAGTAGCTTATCGGATATATCCTTCCATGCTTCAAAAGACAGACATTACAATGGCCACGCAATTTCAGCAATCCACAAGGTACTTAATAGACCAAACGCGATCTATTTATGAAATTCCGAGGATCGGTGGAAACCTGGTTCTTTTCTCTAACACGATCGACGAGATATAACGACAAAGAGCCGCCCACCTTGTCTACATCCTCATTCCGTTGGCAACTCTGTAATGTTATTTTCTAACTCTGTCTTTCTTTACTAATCCTCTTAACAGTCGCGAAACGAAATAAACGAATATACGATAGGGCTAGCGAAATACAGACGCTCACTTAAATTAGAATTTTACGAATCAGAAAATATAAGTCTCTCTAAATTTGACTGGCCTCAATCCAAGGGATTCACTGCACTCGATACGGGCGAGAAGGTTGTGTATCCCGTCGCAGGAGGATGAAAGGGTGGTCACGTATGGGCAGCAACAAACGTTCCTCTCTTATGATCCATCCTGGAACCCTTGGACTGCTCAGTCCTTCCTAACGATGCGCACCCGACGAAGGTTGTCGGTAGAGAGAGCGAACGCTGGCTAGAGTTCGAAAATTCTCGGTAACATTAAATTGGAGAAGGTAACTGTGAAACATACCGTAAGTTACCGGGAACATTGAGAATTTAAACGAACGTTAACTTTGTTATTTATACTTTAGGTTTCTTCGTTTAAATAACATTTTTTTTTTCAATCAACTTCAAAGTTTAAGCTAAAGAGTAATAATTACTATTAGAAAATATTTATTATAGGGTCGTATTTACCTCCAGCTAAAAATATTCACGTATGTACAACTTCACGGAAAATTCCATGCGATTTGTTTCAAATGAATTGATATTTCGTTCTGCGACGAAGCGAGTGGGAGGTTTTGATTGCGGAAATTCCCCTCTACGATGTTTCTCTATAGCTAATCGAAACCTCTCGTTCGCTCTGTTGAAAAATTCAAATTCTCATAATTTCTCGATAAAAAAGGCTTTGGAGAAATGACCGATAAGTTACCGGGAATTTCTCTTCGTTTCTGACGTAACTTACTGGATTTAGAACTCTAACGCTGGCCTTCCGATACCACCGAAATCGTACCACCGGAGAGATTACTCGGACAACCCGGTAGAGGCCTGACAGATCGGTTACATGCGATTGCGCGAATATTCAAACATGAAAATTACGCTACAACTCTATGCTAAACGGTTCTTGGTCGAAAGGGGGTGGTTCCCGGGGCCGTCGTTTTGTTTTTCCACTTAGTCCGTAAATTCGAAAACCCCGTGCTCGCCACTTCACGGGCATATAGCAGCGGATTTCCAGCGAGTCCCGCGGTACAACGGAATAATTAAGTAATTGCACGCCTCCTCCTCTAGCCCTCCGCTTTTATCGCCCCTCCCGCGCCCACCGCCGTCCAACGGGAGTTGAACTTTTTCAATGAATTACGTGGGGTTGCTGTTAATTATTCGATTGTTGAAGCGAAGTTATAACAAAGTTGCAACCGATGTTCGGCAGGATCGTTTTATTTCCACCTCCGCGGAAGTTTCGCCCTTATGTAATCGAACCGTTAACGCGGACTGCTCGTTATCCATTGTTTGAGTAATACTTTTCCGCGCGTATATCGCCGCTCCCAACCCCTTGGACGAAATTCTTTCGTTTCTCTGTTTTTACCCCAGAAACGATGCGGAAATTATGTCCCTCCTACGTGACGGAAACTGCAATCGCGGAATCGGCTTGATCTTTTATCAAGACGTTTAACTTGTATTTGCCTCATCCCGTTGTATGCAGACGGCATAAAGTAAAGGAAGAGACGCTTACTCGTTCGTGGTTTCCATTATTTTCCGCTGAGCATTCTGAGAAGCGAGCGAAATCATTCATTTGGTTATGGGGTTATACATTTAGGGTATGTAAACATTATTGAGCGTTTTTACTGGGGATTACTTATGTCAAATGGGAAATAATTGAACACTTGCGAATTGAATTATTTAACGATCGAAAGGGTTAAGTAAGGGTGAAAGTAAGAGTTTATATACTTGGTTCAGAAATAAATGTTGCTGATTTGTGGAACCGATAGCATTTGGTGTAGAAATTATGTAGATAGACACCCCTATGACGTTTTGCGGAAAATGTTAATCTTGAGTAGAACAAGAATTAAATGACGCGATTTGAAAATTAGTGTTGAATGACAAATCGAATGTCGGAACGTTACTCTTTTTACTACAGTGACTATTTAATTGTTAACTTACGCCACTTATCCAAAATCGAACACTGCCAAAAACTCATCCAACCTTTTTAAACGTTATACAGTAAAAACAATTGTACTACTTCGTATATAACAGATTTCGATGGGAAGTTTCGCTCAAATTTATATATCTAATTTAATCCGAGGTCTCTTTCCTCGTGTTTGAATAAATTCATAAGTAAAAATAAATTGACAGGGGGAAAAAATTGATTAAAATAAAATTCACGTAATTACATTTTGTTTGGCATATAGAGTTTGTTATTAATACAGTTGAGATTATTGAACCGTTGAATATAGCTACCAATGAAAAAGAAATAACATCAGCTAAAAAGGAATAATTAAAGGCGCCGAAATTTTGGAAAGTACATTTTAAATAGGCCAATTGATTGTTTAGAAATATTCTCATAACAATATTATTTCTGTGATAGAGCTATAGAAAGCGTTTTCAAATGTTTCTTCACTCACAATATATTTATTCATAATTTACAGTTCAGATAAAACGGTTTTTTTTCTCCTTTTTCTTATTTATACAGATAATGTCTGCAATGTTATCTTAAAAAAGGACAAACGAAGTAATGCTGCATCAATTCTCACCATAATCTTGACCTACCTCGTGTAAACGTACCTTAGCCCTTAGAACCATGACCTACCTCACATAAACGTACTTTGACCCGCAAGTTTGATGTGCATAACCGTGACCTATCCCACATAACCATAACTAATCCCAAAGAATTTGGTTCTCCAACCCGAATAATTTTGACCTATTCGCCGTATTTTTATATTAGCCCACATAACCATTGCCCTATTCCATTTAAGGGCGCTCATCACTGCAGCGATTTTGCAGGACCTCACGGGAACATCGATTCCGAACGTATTTCTTAACCAATTGAGCTCAACGAGTGCTCATTTTAAATATAAAACGTTAACGTGTGTCTTTATTGCAGCGGTTTTTGATAAGTGGTCACTTTCAGATCAAAAAATTCACCGACGTAATTTGCATGCTCTATTAATTAGGAAGGAGTTGCTTAATCTAAAATCGCTCCCATATAAACACACGTCAACATTTTATATTTAAAACGAGCACTCGTTGAACTCGATCGGTTGAGAAATACGCTCAAAATCGTTATCACCGTGAGGCCCTGCTAAATTGCTGGAGTGGTGAACGCCCTTAACCCTTTCGTTACCTTGGACGAGATATCTCGCGACCCAATACTGGCCGATTAACGCTTTTGACGAGATATGTCGCGACCCGATACTGGCCGATCAACGCTTTTGACGAGATATCTCGCGACCCGGTAGTAGCCGATCAACGCTTTTGACGAGATATCTCGCGATCCGGTAGTAGCGGATTAACGCTTTTGACGATAATCTAGCTTTCTAGCACCAATATTTTGACATTCTAGATGAATATATTTTATAACTAATTCTATTCGTATAGCTAAAAGGAAGAAATAAATACAGCTACTACCGGATCGCGAGATATCTCGTCAAAAGCGTTGATCGGCCAGTATCGGGTCGCGAGATATCTCGTCAAAAGCGTTAATCGGCCAGTATTGGGTCGCGAGATATCTCGTTCAAGGTAACGAAAGGGTTAACCATAACCTACCTCACAGATCATGACTCTCCAAAATGTATGTTTTCAAGGTTGAAATTATACAGAATATGGTAGGTACCATAACCTACCTCACGTATTTTTGCCTTGGCCCGCCTAATCATGATCCATGATCGTGGTCCAAATGATCTCATGGCATCCTGACCCGCGCAACCTTAGAGTACTCCACATAACGTTACTCCCTCTTCCGCATGACCTTGACCAGTTCGACATAACCTTATTCCACCATCCACGCAAGTTTGC